TTGAAGAAGCCTAGAGAAAGCTATATCAGCTAATGAATCATAATCATCACGAATTCAATCCCTGATATATTGGGTTTCCAATATAAAAATTTAGGGCCCAAATTTTTTTTAGCATTATAGAGGTACCATTTTTCAAACAGGGGGGTCTGAATAATTTTGGAAAAATTAGCATTATAGAGGTACCCTTTACTAATCGTGATCCAACATTAGTATATTGTATATACTATATTGTATAGTTTTTTATTGTTGATCAAGGAGTTGATGAACAATGATGAATCCGCCAACCAAGCAACCCAAGATATGTTGATTGTTGATCATCGCCTCACTGAGCTTTTCTCCGCGGAAAAGCTTGATCTCTTTGGAATGCCTTCGCTGATTGTTTTTCAAATACCTAAGGTCTTCATCAGGCAATGGCCTTTTCCCAGAATAGGTAAACACTTCTCCCCAGGAGCAGATTCTGTCATGAGCGGAAGATGGACGAAGCAAGCTTGACTAACTTTAATATGCATATGGCATATATACAACGAGTGTTTGGTTTCTCCATTTGTATTGAGTAACCTGGTTGCCTGGGCTTCTACTGAAGCGAGAATAGCCTCAAAGGGCAGACAAACGCCAAGCTCCAAAACCTGGTTGTCCGGTGCTTCGCCACTCGTCATCAGCATCCGGCAGGTGGTCAGCTGTGGTGGCACACCGTTTGGGGGGGCCCAGAGACATTGTGAGCAGATATTGTTACTGTATAATCAGGTCGAGTGTACTTACGTATGAGTTGATTCTTCTTGTTGACCGTTTATGTTTGGGGCTTCTTGTGAAATTTGGAGTGGACGTAGGGAAGATCTACAAAACATGAACAGTGACTCTATAGGTTGTCTCATGGGAGTCCGGGCTTTGCGATGCTCGCTGTTTTTCTTTTCACGCCATTGGGCAAGTCCCACCCCGGACCCTCAAGGACTCACCTGGCGGGACCTTGGAGGAGGGACCCCTAGAAACCTGGTGGGCAGGTGCTTTAGAGTTATTTATCCTATCTACTTATCTTACCCTACCACTAGGACCAGTAGGGACTCTACCTACCCTACCCAGACCAGTTATCTAATTAATTATCTACTTATCTTACCTTACCTATGACCAGTTCAACTCGCACTTTCCAAGATTCCTAGGTGGTGCATGGCTGAATCCATGCCGAGGGTTTGAGCACTGGATAAGAATGACAGGAATCAACCATCTCCCTTGAGCTCCAAGCTGCAGGATTTGGGTGATGCGTTCAGGGATTGTGACATCTAATTATTGTTTTACATTCAATATTATGTGTATATAGGATTCTAATTTATATATTTGTAGGTTCTTTTTCATGGCCTCTTCAGGTAACATATGGCAAAACTCCGGTGAACAGCTCACAGCATGTCCATCCTTCCAACCCAGCAACTTCGTTCCAACCCTTTCTTCCTTCGGTGCCGACCAGCTCCACGGAACCGAGGCCTAGTGCCCGGTGCTTCCACGGGGCCTGCGTGGCCAATGACCTCTACGTGGTCTTCGGTGGGGACGACGGGCAAAACGGTCAAAACAGTCTTCGGTGGAAGATGGGTGCGAAACGCAGGACCTAAGTTGCTGGCACATGCTGGTGCCAGTACAGCTTGGATGACTGTGGTACATATATATATATATATATGAGATTGAGCCACTGGAGTACAGAAGATGTTTTGCTCTTTCTGTTTGCAGTTCTACATAGGTGATCATAGGTGTATTTTGTATGTCAATGCTTTGCCAATTCGCCAGGATGAGCCAGCCCTCAGTGCATTTTTAGCCAGCTTTAGCCCATTTTAGTATGCTTTCACACTCCCTGAAATCAAACTTGAGTTTCTTCATGCAATTTCATGCTGTTTCTTTCTTTGTTCTGTGACACGGCGGCAGGGGCTGCCCCTCTCCACGTTGCCTTGACCGGAAAACACTCGCTGACGAACCGACGAACCGTCGCAGGTGGCAATGAGGCCACCGACTTCAGTCAGCCGCTGAACGACCTCCACCTGCACCTCGGTCGACAACCCGCTGACAAGTCAGCAGGTTGTCACGACGGGTGCGGTGACGGGTGGTTCTGTTCGGGTGGTTTGGGTGGGTTATGGTGGGTTGCTTCTGCGGTTCAGTTTGGTCAGTAGGACAGCATAAAGCACAAAAACGCGCGTTCTTAGCGGAGCCATGGAAACTCAAAGTAGATTGATGGCGTCAGGTGGGGCAGTGTGAGAATGTGTAGTTAGATGTTATCTTAAGTTACTTTTGGATTTCCAGATGTTTGCTCCAGGTGAGGACTGGTGAGTTTAACTAGTTCCGAAGCAAACCTGGGAAGAGAAGACCCTGTTTCCCTGATAATTCCTGAGATCCACTGGCCGTTACATCTTCGCAACATGAACAACTAATTGCGGAGGAATGCTTTTGAGATGCTCTAGTTCGTGCTCCCTCAGACAAGTGTTTTTTTTCCATCCAAGTAGAAGGGTTCAATTTGGGATCGATCGTCGATTAATGATGCAATTCTACGAACATCAGCAGTGAAGTGGTTGAACTTCTTCACTCGACTCGATCGACCTCCGCGGCATGCAAGTGATTTTGAGGCTGTTGCTATGGGTATGGGGAGACAAGCAGACCATTTGGGGCTAAACACAGATTGAGATTCTCCCTATTGCAATACTTTAGACATAAACATGAGCGGCTTCGGTGTCCCGTAGTTGCTCAGCAGTCGAATCCCATGCGACAAGTGGAATTCAACTGGTTATTTTCAGGCTCCAGTTCCTTCACCAACAGGTATTGATGTCGCTTTTGTTTGGCTCTGAGGGTAATTAGCTATCTGGTGCACCCCAAAATTATTATGCCCCCAGCACAGACACTCCAAAATTCTAGACTAAACAGGCTGGATTACTTCAGAACCCATGCAGTCTTGGAAATATCGTTTTTAAATAAGTTCATTCATGAGGTATTTGTTTGAGAGGGTTTACCAACCACAAGAGGGGGGGCATCTGGAGTGGTGCAGCTGAGGTTGGATCTCAGGAGTGGTACTTGGACCTCTCCCGAGACCAACGGAGAGGCTCCCTCCCCAAGGCAATACAGATCCGCGAGACGCGTCGCGTGGGCTTCGAGGGGACTATCTGTGCACAGCTTAGGTTCCAACCTAAGACCATCTGCCTTCAATACGCGTCCAAAAGTCTTGAAGTCCAGGTAGGCATAACGTCTACGCCTGACATCACGCGACCCTCCGAAGCACCAGTATTTGTTCCCTTTGTTCTTAACCTGCACTGGTTTTGCACGGCACGCAACTTGTGCGCTGGTTTTGCACGTTGTTCCACCGTGCTTCATCGACGTTCTTTTTGGCCCCGGACCCGTACCGACGTCACGCGTGACGTCTGCGGCGACGTGGACCCGTCGCTCGATCTGTGCATGACGTGGGGCAGGTTCGGTCACAAGTTGATCCATGGCCCTGACAATCAGATCTTCGTCTTTGGCGGCTCCACCAGTGCTGGTGCTGTGGGGGATCCCACGTGACGAACCGGCGATACAAGGGGACAAGGGACGAACCGGCACTTTTGGCGGCTCGTAGTCGTAGGGGTGGTTCGAAGCAGCGGGTGGAGGTGAAGGGGTGCCTTTGGTGTGGATTTGGGGGTGTGAGCAGTGACACGTACTTGAAGAGGCCACTGGAGACTTGAAGAGGCCAGGTTCTTTGATTGTGGTTTGTATTGGAACAAGTTGTTGCAAGGCGCAAGAACAACACTGCAAAATAATGGAAATGGTCCGGTGGCTCCTAAGTTGATATCTAGCAAGCCACAGCGGGTGACAGGGTGACTGGGTTCTGAAGAGATTGTGTTTTTATTCTTTTTCTGCAGGAGGAATTCCGGCTGGATTTGAAAAGAATCAGGTGTTGTGGTCCAAGCAATTCTTCCAATTCGCGTTTGGCCAGACTGGCTGTTCACCTAAGGATTTGACAGGAAACAGCCGGACTGGCAAGCGTGTTGCTCAAAGAAGGAAGGAACAGGAGAGTTTCTCTCGAGAAGTACAACCCCCCTCAAGTCGCCTGGTCCATTAAACCCATTTGAGAAACGGCTATCAGTTGGCCATTGACCCAAGATCCACCCCAAAAAACGCACAAAGCCGCAGTTCCATGAGACGAAGGCTGGTCTCTCCCGTGGTCTCTCTTTCGACCCCAACAGCGTTACGTCGTTACGTGCCGGCGCCAGCGTTTCACGTCATTTCACGTGCTTTCCTGCATCGTCATGACGTTCACGTGGTTTATATACACGGTTTGAGTCGGCGCGCGATGTTCCGTCGACTTCACCTGAGGTTCCGGGCAGTCTTCATTCCTTCAAGCTGTCCACCAACACCTGGTGTACGGTCCAGGTGCCGAGCGCTCCCTCGCGAGGTTCGCGCGAGGACGGATGGAGCTGAGGAACCACGGGCCGGGCCGCGTTGGGCCGGAGGGCGGAACGGTGTCAGGAAGTACTCCGTTTGGGTAATCCAAGAGAGATTGAAGAACCCTAGTTCGGCTATCCCAGGTACCCTGGTAGGGTCCTAGTTCAGGTCACTTAAGCATACTTAACCTCTGTTGCATCTTGAAGCTGTTTGTTGGGCAGATCCAATTCGCAGGAAGACGTTACTTTGACCTGCTTTGGGGCAGGTGCGTTTGGAAACGTCTCTTGTTGCCCTGCAGTGTGACTTAACAAGGATGTGCAGGATGTACGAAAACATGTGCAAACCCAGGCGCAATGATGGGTAACTCGATGTGTATAATGCATATATCCAATGTGTTGCGACATGCGTTGCGACGGTTCTAGGGCTGAGTGCATCCAAAGAAGAACTGTTCTAGGATGTTCTAAGGTGATATTTCCGAAGAACTGTTCTACAAAGGAAGTGAACAACGAACCCATGGACTTGAAGAGAGGCAGCTACAGCTACTTAAACAGGCTCCAGCTTAGGTGCTTTCTTCCTCAGTCTGAGGTGTGCAAGACCTCCCAACAACCCACAACATATCCACAACTCGCGCGCCCGTGGCAGAATAGATTGCAGCACATCAGCAAAGAGAGGTTACCAGATGTCAATGATTGCTTTACTAGAATCCGCGATTCAGCATTTACAACATATTGGCATTGGCATTGTAGTTAACGAGGCTTTGATGGAATCAACTGAAAGGAAGTTGAACATGCTGGAACAACGTGATCTTCATTCGTTTGTGTTCCAGTGTGCGTAATCGTAGACTTCCAAGACCGATCGGCATGCACAGCACGTACGATCGGCATGCACCCTCCAAGCTTGTCAGATTGAGTAGTCCAGCTGGTCCGAGAAGCCGGTCCAACGTGATGGCTGAAGAGTCGTTGCCTTGGCAGTGCACACGCTGTTCGTCCGGATGCCCGGCGTGCGCGGCCGCGCCAAAGGAAGCAGCGCGCCCACACGACGTGGCAACCTGACGAGGCGATAGATTCACGTCGGGTAGGACTTTGCCTTGGGTTTCCCTCAGCTTCGGAAACTATTCCCTACCTTCTCAGAAGGTGGGACTGGGGTGGGTGCCAGGAGGGTCCAGGTGCCTTCTGAGTAAGGTACAACTGGATCGCAAAAAGGGATCCATTAATAGACGGAATTGGTGTTCCTTTGTATGGCAGGTCAGGTCGGATTGGCCGGTCTGGCTGGGTCATCCGCTCTCCGCTCTCCGCCACGGGTGCCCGGTCGGTGCGGAGCGAAGAATCCCGCGCAGGACGGGCGAAGCATGGACACCACATATGGATATGTGGAATTGATGGGCCTAAAGGGCCTAAAGCGTGGATTTGATTTGATAGATTTGGTGGGATTTTCAGGGATTTTCACATATTTTCATCATATGCCATTGTCATGGACGCCCCTTTGTTGGTTTTGTGATTTTTTGTGCTAGTCTTGCGTCGCATCCGAGGTTGCTGAATACCCCCGCTGCAAGCAGGCGGGCGGCGGCCGATCAGAGTCTTTTGGGACATCGGGAAACTGATGGCGATGGAATACGAGGACAGAAGTACAAAAGACTTTGACATTGAGCAAGATGCGACTAAATAAACGTCTCCTGTCAATGGGCATGCTTCAGCATAGACGATGTTTGCCTCATGAGTCTACATGAGGTCTCCAACAGTGAGCCTTCTGAATTCATCAATGAGGTGTTGGGGCATTGTGTCAGTGAAAGCATGCGCAATCAGATATAGCACCGGTACCGCTTGTAAGAAAACATGCTGCAGATACACAAGTATGTTCATCACCCGAAGTGCACCAGGAACGTCAAATCTGTATATATTATATATATGTTATGTATACATTTGTTTATTGTGTTTGTATGTAAAGCTACTAATAGGCACTTTGTCTAAAAGCAAGAATGTGCTGCCACACAAGCACCGGACAGGCCAAAAGAAAGGGGTCGGCAGAGTCGGCTTGGGAGTAGAGAAGTCTGTGTGGATGTCCAAATGCATGGCTTAGCAGGCCTGGTGCTGAAATGTTTGCTTCACCTTCCATCAAATACGATCAATAAACCAAAACACCTGAATGTCAGTGGTTTTTCCCAGGGGTTTGGTTGGATCATATCAGGCCCAATCAAACCAAACTTTCTCTGACAAATCGAAAACTATGAGGTGTTGTTTCCAAGAAGATTCTGGTAGCTGCTAGCTTAATTATACATTTAAAAGAACAATGTTTCTCCCTATAAATATATATATATATATATCTATTCCCAGTATCACTGTTCTCTTGGAAGACCATAAAACACCTCACCCATCCTCCCTCAGGCCGGCCCAGTCGTTTGGCCCATCGACCCCCATCGCCGAATCGCCGAACGTCGTCGAGGTGCAACGCCTGCGAGTTTCCCCGGGATCTCCACGGGAGTCCTGTGCTGCACTTGAACCCAGCGACGGGACTGGCCCCCGAGGCGGGCCAGCATGGCACATGTTTATTTTTTTTCTGATGAAGCACAAAAGCCAGCCAACTAAGTATGCAACAATATGCAACATATAGTTACTTCTTGGTTGACTTCGATGTTTGGAAGATCAGTAAGTCTTGAACACATCGAGTATTGGAATTCCAAGATCTTTCTGTAAGAATCTAAGAAGTAAGAGCTTATAGCTTGTGTACACAGCTGAGCGAGCTTCGCATTCGTCGCAGGCGCCGAAGCCACCCGCTGCACCCGCAGTACCTGTAATGAAGCCATCATCTGGGACGGCAGGCAGGATCCGGTTTGCCAATGTGGTCCACTTTTGGTGTTTAATATGTGTATAAGTTTGTACAAACACTTAGAATATCCTCGTCTTGGGGCTGATTGGAATTCATTGAAGAGCAAAAACACATATCATTGAAGTAGTGAAGCATAACAGTTTCTACCAACACAGGTCTAGTTTTGCTTTGAGACTTGCAGTATCATATGATATATGCTATAGAATGCGCTAGCGGCCTTCGATTTGCATATGATGTACAGTTTTACAATGTTTTACCATCCAAAGAGCATTGCTTCTGACCTCAAATGCCATAGTCAAAGTTGATTGATGTGCGTTTTCGCTGGTTTTACACCCCTGAAGATTTATTGATACATGTTGTGCGCCTCCCCAGATAATGATTCAAAGGTGTTGGTACTTTGCTTGGGATGACAGAACTGACAGGTCCTTCCCGTTGCCTAGGCCATCTAGGAAGGCTTATCCTAAAATGTTACTATACATCATAGGATTGGCACTTCTGTTCATCCTCTATGTGGGATGGTGATCACAACCGGTGATATGTTCCACGGTAGCGGGCACAGGCGTGGCATGAGGAACCTCACGAGTGGACCAAGCATTTGTTGAGTGGAATTGAAGGCGACTTCTAACAGTTGGGAATATCACATACCGTACCGCTCCAAGTACCTCCTCAGAATGTATTTGGACCCTCCAAACCTACCCTAAACAGGGATAGACTATTCTAGCACCTCTCCACGAACAATGACCATCTGGTAATGGAGCTAGGTAGTCACCCTACTGTGCTTTAACTGGATTTCACACCATTGGCACCTGCTACAGCAACTCCTGTTACAGAAGACAATCAACCCCCCGTAGAGCACACACACATGCTAAAACCCTTAAAGCCACCCTGTGGATGATGTTGCCGTACTATGGCATATATGGACCCCTATATGATATATGCTTATTGTAGGCTCTAATTATATCTTCATCAACTGTAACTGTATATAAAAATCTTTACCCATCTAAACTATACATATGCTGGTCTAAACCAGTTTAGATGCTGTTTGAACATGTTTGAACTATAGACCATGGACCATTTCATTGTTGTATGCTGGTCTAAACCATTGAGTTGAACACCTCTGCCTCGCCCCGGCCTCTTCCGGCCTTGCCGCCTTTGCTCGCACCCCACGAGGCCTCAGTGCCTCCGAACGGAAAGCGCGCGAGGCCGGGGCTCCGGAGCCGTGCCCCGGGGGCCGGGCTCTTCCGGTCGCTCCGTTTGTTTTGCCCGCATGACAGACCGTTGTAGACCTTCTGTTGGTCGATCAGCTGAACATCACCTGGTTGGTCTTCATTTTGGGAACACTCCCGTCCAGTGGTTTTGACGGCTCTTTCAGCCCACGGCATGGTCGCCACAGGAGGAAATGGCGGCCAAGCGACAGAAGAAGGCGACACCGGCCACGGACAACGAACAGCGACCAGGGTGGTCGGAGGCACCACGTCTGAGACGTCTCAGTTCGTCGCCAGACGTCTCTGCTTAGCAAATCAGTTTCCAAACACTCCATGGGTGGAAAACATGCACACATTGACCCCCCTGGCACCACCCCAACTGATTGGCAAATATGGCAGTCCCATGGAGTGTTTGGGATATATTGTTTTGCTATGGTTTGCGACCATGTCTGAAGCCCAAGATTCTTCAGTCGAAGGGGCCCCCGCCCTGCAACACACTCCAGAGCTGTCCATGGCGTTTGAAACCAAGACCACCTTTCTAGATTTGATCGAATGGTGACCCGGGGCCCAGCAGCACAACACAAACCTCCTTCCCTTTGTACCTTTGTAGGTGGATTCCATGTTTGGAGAGGGTTTGCATCAATGCACTGCCGTTAAAAAGACTTTACCAAAACAGTTAGAATCACACCAGCAAGGAATTGCCTCGTAATCTTAGGGACGCAGAGAGGGGAGAAGGAATGTTTATTATATATTGTTGCTTGACAGGAGCAAGTCAAATTTTGGGTTGGCCTTCCAACATCCCAAATCTTGGCTTCATCGATTTGGGTCCACACGCTGCGCGACTCCCCACAGCCTGACACACTGAATCGATGCTATCCACCCACACTGGATCGTTTTCAAGACAGTGGTCGACAATGGACGGCCGAACAGCAATTTCTTGGTGCTGCCCACTGAGAGGAA